ATAGCTATTGCTAAAATATTGATTTAACGTCACTAAATTTTACGTCAGATATTTACATGTTTGTGTAATACATTTAATTGATCATCTGACGTACTAATAATATTAATCGTAAATCGCCATTTAAATGTTATTATTAAATTTGTCGTATAACAATGGTCTTTTTTTATTTTTTCGTGATGCCGATGCTAAGCTTGAACTTTCCCCCCTGGATTGTTAAAAAAAGATACCTCGTCAGATACGTTAAGTTAAGTTACATATTTTATAAAAGCAAAATTACCTGACGACGGATACCACAGCCAGATCACCAAAAGCTTGATCGAGGATTGAGCTCCAGACATGACAATTAAACCAAGCTTTAAGATGCTTTTCTTTCAAGCTTTTGGTTTGAATTTCTCTCATTCTATAAGAAAGAAAATTTAGCCAATTTACCATTGATGCATTTAATAATATCTACATATGCATGTACAAGCAAGCCACAAGAACCAAATACTTACAACGCATAGCAAAAAGGATATAATCCTTATCATGATCGTAATTGTTTCTACATATCAGTTTCTTTACGATCTTTCAGATATCCTTCAAGCTTGTCTATGTAGAAAAAAGATTAACGACTTATTGTTCATATTTTGTCAATAGCATGTAAATTATTTATTACCTTGTCAATAAATGTCACGGCTGAAGCTGAAATATGGCCGAAGCTGAAACAATGACTTTTCATTGGTTGATCAGATTTTATTCTCTAATACCATTGGTTAGTTTCAGCTTCAGCTGGATTTCAACATCAACTCTCACAATAAATTTGTTCACAAATTCATCTATTTCGTCTGAAATTTCAGGTATCTGTGGACTGGGTGCAAATTCAATTTTGTCATGTTCTTCCTTACTGAAATGCTGGCGAATTACATTATTATCGACATCCAGAATGAATGAATGAATGGTGCTAGAAAGAAAATAATAACATAGTTTAGCAAAATTGTTGTTGCATAACAACAGCAGAGAAACATGCATATAAACACTAACTGCTCAAAATTCAACTTTTGGCCTAATTTGAATAATTCTTCCTTGACATATTTCCCATTGAGAGTTTCCACATTCTCTCTCTATTCATGCCATTAAATGTCTGCTCGATTTTTTGTCGGTGTTCCTTGCTCAATCTGACTGGTCCATTCTAAAAGAACAAGAACATAAATTTTCATTATTTAAAAAAAAATTAACCAATGTCTAAAATTCTTACCTTGTTTCCTTTATTATTTTATCGTCAGTCACCTCCATCTCTTCATCACTAACATCATCATGATCTACTTGGGAGGAAGAATTGTCATTGTTTTTAGAAAAATCATTATCTGATGGTAGCAGGTCCATAGGAGCTGGCTTCCCACCAGGTGATGTATTCCTCTAGAAGAAATAACTCAATTTAGCTTCATAAAAATGGTTTTGCAGACAAAAATTAAGTTATATCCAACCTTTTTTGTTGATAACTTTTCCTTTTTTAGTGGGTTAGGTGGCTTGTCTTCACAAGCTCGCTTATGCCCAGTGTCCAAATTTATGGATATAAGCAGACTAGTACATTTTGTCCAAGTTTTTGGCCCACATCCATACCATGCTGCGCAATTATCGTTGGCTGTGTTACTTGGATTTCGTGTGCTGCGGAATCGGAGAATTGAGCGGAAATCACGGAGGAATATGTCGTACTTAGGTCTCGATCCTGACACCAGTCATGCAATTTTCATCTTTTTCATAACTTCTTTTTGCAGTAAAATACCCTGATTTTGGGTTTCTCTAGCATGTGTTAGGTCTACAATGCAAATGAACTTTCAGTATACCAATGTCAAAATTAAGTGTAATTACAAACAAGCAGTCTTGAACTAGAATACACACACTCATGTCTTAATTTCGTTGCTGGATTCAGAATTCGCAATGCGATGCACTCTGTCACAGCCTTTTCAAGAGTCGAAATCGGCACATTTCTTTTTTCCACGAGCATATCATTATGCCACAGAGTTTGCAAAAAAGATGGACATCACCAATCCCTCAAACGAGAGTCCTTTATCGTGCTAAAGTCAGTGTCCAGCCAATCTATTGAGTGAATGAGAGAGAATTTGGTGATTGCGAAAAAAAATAAGTGCGGGTATGTTATATACTAATACCCTGACAGCATAACTTCAGAACACAACAACCACTCAATGAGCACTCAGTGAAAAAAGTCTCACATTATCCGGGTATGACATGCAACTTACAATATATAAGGGTTCTACTGAGAACTTCAAGCTTTGTCCTCTTTGGTAAACCAGTCCTGTAAAATAAGATAAGTTAAATAACACCCTTCGATCAAGGTAAAGCTACAAAAAATTGTTTACCTGAAAGAGCGCGAAAATTTTTTTTGGAAATACACGTCAATTCTCCACGCGCAATGGTCAAGAGAAAAGACAGCTCCCAAGAAGCACTAAGCGAAGAGAACTAAATGTTGCCGTTTGCTTGAACTGCACACTGCATATACGTACATGGTATTCAAATAGATCAATAACACCCTTTGATCAAAGTTAAATCATAACAAAGTTGTTTACCTTCGGGGGAGGACAGCAAGAAAAAAAAAATTCGACCGTGTTATTCCGTAATCAATTGAAAAAATGTGTTACGTATTACGAATTATCACGTTGGCTCTGCGGCCTCCGCAGATAACTACCCCAACTGCATAGCCAATGAACGATTATGTCGTCATAGAAACCCATTGTACAATTCCCTTTACTGAACACTACTCAATTATATCCTGATTATTTTACGTTATAACAATAATAGCCTTTATATAAAGTAATAATCATAAGTAGAAAGATTAAAGACGGCGTATGTCTATATATAGATAACGTTTCGAAAAACTTACCATTAACGTTGAAATTAGCCAATAGGAATATAAGATTTCGATCTCGTTAGCGCTCAATAATAAATATGGTTTCAATCCGCTAAGGAACGTGGAAAATGCCAAGGTGTAGGCCTTCGAAGGGGAAATAGTCATTTTTACTATAAGTCCATCAAAATTATTTACCCTAAGTAATTTCCTCGGTTGGGCTTCCGTAGCAGTAAATAAAGCCCATATCCACTATCTATGCAATCAAATGATCGTTTGGTTCTTTAGAGAGAGAGCTTTTCCATCAGACAAGATTTGTCTTCCGTTGCAAATGTGATTAGAGTATGTACATAACCCAATAAGTTGGGGTTTCCCGGTCTTATGTGCCAGGCAGGAGGTCCAAATCGTCATTTGTCGTGTCGAAACTTTATTGAGTGGGTTGGGGACTTGTCTGTACTGTTTGCGTAAATCGTCAAATTCTAAATCAAGTAAGAGAATGACGTTTGGCGAAACAAAGTTTTATGTGAATGGAAGACATTACCGACAGCTTAGAATTCCTATATTTCATAGAATGAAAGGTATCATAATATGGAACTCACAGCTGGCAATATATTGGTTGTTGAATTCCGCAATAGACCTTAGATGTTGGGTAGAAGTTTGCATCTTTCTATCGCAAACAAGCATCAATCAGTGTTAGAAGTATTCGTGCGGATCAATACGTGTACACTTACAATTCATTTAGAGTCTGTGTTTTTTGAGGCTGATGTTTGACATTCCTTAGATATTCCAGGCAAATCAAGGTTTTATTCTACTTCTTCACAACGCGGAGTTGTGCTGGTTGTCTTTAGTATATTAGGTGAAGGGCAGTGTAATACTTGAAGTGCTTTATAGGAATTTTTATATGGTCATATGATTAAAACTATATTATTAAAATATGCCAAATTTGGTGTGCTCTTATCCCTTACTAGGGGATAATTATCAATGTATTCACCAATGTATTCCAATGTATTCACCAATGTCTTCACCAGTTCAAAAAAAATTGTTCTTGCTACTGCTATCATACTTCCATCGATACATGGATGCTATATAGAGAAGTCAGAGAACGATTGTTAGTCTGTAGGTTGTTTGATCAATATACGTCTACTTGCATTAGTTTCTGCGCTTGCCTTTCTTAATGTAATCATGCAGCGGAGTATGAAGGAAAACAAAAAAAGGACAGAAAAAATAACTTTCTACTGTTGGCGCAAGACAATAGCCATGTTGGGAGTCTGATATCAGTAGTTTTTAACATAAGCCCTTTATACAATTATAACATTTGCATACAATATGATAGCAGTCGGTTTTTAAAACTTATTTGTATATAACAGAATCGTTGCTTTACGTTTAAACTTTATATAAGATTTATATGACATACTGTAGTCTACTAATTATGGTACCTCCCCCAATCTATTGCGAAATATGGCAAAGGAGGTAATGATGAGGCGGGAAACTGAGAAGAGATTCATCTCATTCGTAAATTATATTTTCCCAGATGTCGTCATAAAAGCGTAAGAAAATAATGACTAAACTTATTTTATACACACTCTTCGTCATATGCTGTTACTTACGTATGCCAATTAAGGGCATTAACAATAGCTTTGATGCCCCGATCAAATTTGGAAGTAGGGGCATCAGCTTTCTAAATAGAGTGATACCATATTTACTTTATATGATAAAATTCGTAAGTAGCATACCACAGAAACCTGGAATAATCACAGAGCACAATCGAACGCCGTTACAATTGTGGCAAGTTGGATGATAACAAATGGCTATGAAGCTTATGAAAAATATAATGGAGTTGATGACAATTATGGAGTTAAAGAAACTCGTGATAGCAATGAACAAGATGATAATGAAAACAGCGGCGATATTATAGTTGACGAGAATTTTGGAAATTTATTAACTAGGAATGAATACGATGTCCTCAGAGATCAGTTTAATCCAACTGATGAGGATGAAAATTCTGGTATCAATATATTCTTAGGCGCCATTGTACTCGTCCGACAATTACTTCAAAATAGTTCGTCATTGATCAACAAAAATGTACAGCGTATAGCAAAACAAGAGAATAAATCCCTTTGTCTATATTAGATCAACGATCCCGTATTATCAACTGATTGACCAATCAACGTCTGTGTGTGTGTGAAAAAGTTCGATTTCGAGTGGTTGTACATAATTCTTTGACGCTAATGACATAATTATTTGACGGTAGCAGCGGCCCCACTGAAATGTCCGACAGCAATTTGTTTGACGCTATTTTCTGAATTTCAATTCGCAAAATAGTGAATTTAAATTCAGACTTTTGTCCACTCCGGCGTGCTATACTAATGATTCAATAAAGATTCTATTCACCTTATCGAAGCGACAATTAAAGACTACGTGTTTTTTATTTGAGACGTCACCTTACAAGTCGTTCTCTGTACCTCTTAAGGTATCTCCTGAACCATTTCTCTCATAAATTCCAATGACATTATCACATACTCTTGTTCATTATTCGAGTGACGAATTCACCGATATATTATAAACATTGCAAAAGGATATCCATGAAGAATATCGCGTAAACTTCTGACTCAAATTGCATCCCATCTCGATATCCACAAGCTCAAAAATGTCTGAACGTTCGATAAAAGAGAATATCATTGAGGCTATTTGCTACTATAGTACCATCGTCATCACCATATTCAACGTCGACGTAAGTGTATCGATTTCCCCAATTGTAAAGTAAACAAAGGCTTGTTTCAAAATGTTGATATCTTGTGTAATGTTAACTACCGCATTGGAACCCAGTATTGGACCCAAAACTGTGAGCATATAGGTTGTAATAATCTTCGTTTGAAATCTATTGACAAATAACTTGCCATGCCGTAGACAGACGATCCATCGTTATTGTTATATCCGCATCTCCTCAACATTTCAGCGTTACCATTCAAATATATGACACCTTTTCGCAGACTTGTTGCACAGATATATGGTCGATCGAATATTCCTCAAAAGCGTGTAGCCATGCAGGTACAACGTCAATTACAATCTTTCGTGAGAGTTATACATGCTGCATTTGACTGATTTTTTCTCTAGCTCCGTTACTTGCTGAGGCATCGAATCACTAGTGGTCTCATGTTTGAAGAAAGGTCTCAAGAAATTCTTCAAAGAGGTGATTTCACGTAATTTAATGGTGATCGTTTGACCCGATCCAAAGTTTCAACGTGCCATTCCATCCAGAGTCTGTTATCTAGTATTAGTTACTTATTTGAGACTGGACGTATGGAGGCAACTATAATATATGCTTAAATTCGAATTCAGCTTTATTTTGAAATTACAACACTTTGTCCACGACACTTTAACCAAAGATTATCTTTTGAAATACTGTTCCGGATAACTTGCTTCAGTCGCCGTAAAACAATAAAGAATGAGAATATCATATCGCGCAGAATTGTTACACAAAAAGTTGCACAAACTGGACGTCCTTGGAAAACTGTTGCCTAAAACTCGAAATTATTTTAGTTGATTAAAAATTTTAAACCGTGACTTTTATTCTGCTTCGTCTGCTCTATCATTATTACGGATTAGTTTTCTCTAAGCCCTCTAATATAAAAGCCTTAGGGTTTTGAAAGTTGGTATTTTATTTCGGGCTATAGATATCAAGAACTATATTGTTGTGATAAATGATAACCTTTTAACAATCTTCTCGCTTTCTGCCCGACGTCAGATGTTAAGCATACTTTAATAATATTAAAATACCAAAATGTTGGCCTTAACTCATTAGATAAGAAAATGTCCATGAGCAGTAAACCATACATAGGCTGCTACTTGTAGTAATTAATTGGGCTACAAAGTGTTATTGTTCAAATGCCTAAAGCTCAAAGCTAATAACGAATTAAACGAGTGGGTAGTTTATGGCTTCGAACAAGACAAAAAATTTGTGTTTGGTAAGCAAACGTATTATTTACTCTTGTATTTGACTGCTGTCTATTGTAACTGAGCGCGAAGCAAACTGTCATCTCATATACGAATTTTCTTCCATTACTCTTTTACAGTTACAGCGATGCGATGTACAGGCCGCAAATTTGCAATAAAATTCATAACAGAAAAAATATTATTATGGTTGAAGAATAAAGAAACAATATAAAAGAAAGAGATACAATATCTCGGGTTATAGGTAGGGAAGAATGGGTTGTTCGCAGCGTTTAGAATGTATAAACATTGGCATGCTCTTTTTTCAATACGTATTTATGAAGATATGAGGTAATTACACACCGACGACGGGTATAAATATGTTTATTGAGATGCTGACGACAAATTGTTTAATTTCAGTCTAGAGAAAAGAACGGTAGATGTAGGCATAACAAAGTACAACATATCTGTTTGCTTCTATAGTTCTACCAGTGTATTGTTAAGTTATATGTTTCTTTGTATGCCATTGAGTACAGCAGTCAGCAATTCACACAGTTCAATATAACGGTTTATGGCCAGTTATTGAAAACTGCACCAGGAAAGCTATACTCTGATGTTTGGGGAGTTGTCGCGCTATCCTATAAATCTGGATTTAATTTTGGTAATAATGTGAGCAGAATTATCGCAGTTTCTCACTTTATTTTTGATCGATTGTTTATTTTCACTTGATTGTATTTTAACCACTCCCGCTTTCACAAACTCTACTTAAGTATAAGTACAAATGCAATGCGTTGTTGGATTAGGGTATTAGATATGTAATGGTCAAATTTTACATGCTATAATGGCTGTATGTAATCTTTGTCCAGTAAAAGGTTATGTCTTGTAGGTGCTTTGTATAAAAATGATTAGCACAACAAACAATGTATGATGCTTCCAACGTATACTCTTGAACCTTGTAAGGTTTTTGAAAGTCTCATGAGCTATTGTCAACCTATCACATTAGTATACACGTATATTGGGAAATCGACGATATACAAAATTGGGATTTTTCTTCCTACCGACAAGTTAATCGTCTTCAATGTTTTATCAGCCCGATGCAACAAAGAAGAGAGATGCTAAACTAAAACATTAATATCGTCCGGTGCAAAAAGGTTGATATAATATGTTTATGATAAAAATTCTTTTTTCCGAATCAATGGAATGTTTTAAATAAATTATTTGTATGATTTATAGTTCAAGATATATATCTCGATGCAAATTTTATTAAAATTTATTTTACAAAATATTCAACTTCTCCTTCAAAATCTTCATAACCAATAACTTGTGTATGATTGTTTGCCGTGAGAATTCTTCATTTTCACTTCTGTTATACTCAGCAACCACATGCGCAACTGTTTGTTGCCTCCCCAATATACGAAAACTGAAGCAACCTGCTTGCGTAGTGATTAGTCTTGACGTTGCGTCTGGCGTTGTCGGATACTTAAAAAGTACTGTTGGACTCAAACAATCATCTTTTTTTCGTTGCTAGTTAAGAAACTTTGATCTCGTTCCAAGTCATCACATGAGAAAAAGAAATCTCAAATTTGAAACCTTTTGTATAATTTGTACGCTCACATGACTTGATTAGCGAGTTTGTATTATAGGAAAAATTCAGGTGACGATTTTCGTGTATCAACCTTTTTGCACCGAACCATAAACATTGGTTTAGTTTTTACAGTAGTCAATTAAATCCGTATTTCAATATATGCTCGATTTTATATCTAGCCTCGTGACATCCGAATAACCGAGAGTTAGATGAGAAAGATTAGATCGGATATTTACAATGAATAGATGTTCCACCAACTAGTTATCTACTTGTTGTTTGATTGTCTAATCATTATTATCATTACACAATATGCATGTCCAAATAAAGGTTATCGATGTTAACGCTACGTATCACGTGCCAAGTAACATCGCGGATTCGTAACAACACCATGGTATTACAAAGGTTGTTGTGAGAGCAACATATCTTCTTATGTCAATTACTATATAACGTCCGTATCGTTTATATCATCTATATCTATCGCAGTCGCTGTACCTTTATCTTTCCGTCCCACATCAGTCGGAACGGACGCTACTTCCAAGTGTTGATTATGGACTCATCAATTAAAGATAGATTATCAGAATCAATTATCAAGCTTAACGGATATCTTAGTGATTCAAACTTCATAATGGGCTTTAGCTATAGCAACAAGAGCAAGATGAGTAACATATTCACAAGATAACAAATGACTGTGACTCGAATAAAATAATGCATCTGGTAAATGCTATGAACACGTTTTGAGTATCAAAACAAAAATGTGTTATCGCTTGAAAGTGTACTTTGAACCTGCAGTAGGTCTTTAAATTGCATAAACATTATACCAATTCAATATCACGTACAGCATCGAATGCCAATTGTTGTTGTAATTTTACGCCTAAGCTTTGGAATAAAAAGAGATCACATTTCAAAAGCCTCGAACTCTGAAGCTCACGTCTTATAGGTGTCTGGAAAATAAAAAAAAAAATGCACCGGATTTTGTTATAGTACGTCTTATGCAACAGTTAATAATATTATAAAAAAAGATACCTTTTCACTCGTTGGAATCACTTCTTGGTGAACGAATTGTTAGAAAAAATTGCACGCTTGAAGAAAACCGGGAATTAAATTGCTAGTGTTAGTTGATAATAATAAAAGGTAATAACACATGTTTGAACATTAATATAACAAAATCTTTAACTAATAAATCCGGGAATCAAGCCCAAATTAAGTCTGGAATCCAACATATAGTTACGAGAGAGTGCTTAGTATTGCCATGCCAAATGTTTGCTTATCTCATTATTTGTATGAGCGGGGACATATTATTTACTTCAATCAGTATACAAAAATGACACAATCATTGATGGTCAGTTTTTCTAAAAGTTTAAAGAATACTTTACTCTCGCGTTTTTCCGAGAGAATTTTTTAAACAAAAATAAAATGACACATCTTTATTCAAGATCCATTATCCGAAAACGCTTCATTTGCTCATCAACATATCGCAACTTGTTTTGTTTGCGTCCCACGACATTATCTCGTCTCGCAATTGCAAGAATTAATTTCAGGTGTAATATTATAAAAATTATCAATTATGTCAATCGGTTCCACACAACCGTTGTCAGATTATTGATCTACATAATTCATTCGTTCCAGTAGATTAAATCTATTAATTGGCTTTTTTATTATGACTAGGGCCAAACAACGTATATACCCGCACATTTTCTGTCGTTGTCTGCTGCAAAGGTAGATACACATGAAGCAACTAATATAACGAAGCGCATAACGGAGTTTTTGAGGAACCGAAAAATTATAATTTACGCCGTATGATTAGTAAAACAGGTCCGTTGCATAGCATTAAATACACTATAAAAACTAGTACACTTAATAGATTAATTCTCCAATGTCAATTTTTATAGAGTAATAAAGAAGAAGCCATTGTAATACAAGATTACACTCACCCGATAGTCCCTCCGATTTATTTAACCTTCAATTTTCGGTTAACAAAAAAAGGTAGTTTATTTAGCATATCAGTTTAATAGCACAAATGTAATAACCTTATTTATTGTCTTTTTTCCATTTAAGCCAAGTTGATAGAAACAACGCATACGATAAGCTTTAATTACATCATCACTGTTGCCAATAGTGGTTATTAACAACCGTAATGAGACTAGCGTGAGCGAAGGCCACCTTGTCAAGTTTCACAGTGTTCAAACAATGATGTAACATGTTTTAATTATATAATACTGTAATATTAAGAATTGTATTTTGAAAATGTCCGCGGATATTAACATTAATATAAATTTGTAAAGATCGAGAATGGATATTCTATTCAAAGTCTTTGTTTAAGAAAATGTGGCATGGTGAATTTTTGATTGGTTGGTTAGTAGTCAGGTGGGAGTATTCATACAATATTGTTCTTTGCTCCCCATATTATGAATCGTGGGTGTAAGAAACCATACTTGTACGCATTAGCACAAACGTACTAATATAAGTTGTAGCCGATATTTCTGTATTGACCGAGACTGTTAGAGGTTGTTATTACAAATTGCGTCAAAACTCGAACAACCGATAACTTCGATATGTGAGATTATTTATTTGTTTATTATTGTACTAATTAAAGACATACGATAAATAATGTGAAATGTGCTTTAATTTCTTGTCTGTTTTTTGCTCAACAAATCAAAGCAGTAAATAACTTTGCTTGGCTGAAATGCTTTTATTGTTTACGTTCTTTTAATAAGAATATGGCCGACAAGGTTAATCTTTCGTATATTTATGGTTACTAACTTTGTTGTAGGTTGTTGCAACATCATATCTTTGATTGTAGATTGAACGATAATTGATGTTACAATAAACAAACAGATTATTTATATGTAATCTTTGGCATTGTATTTTTAACCCCTTGTTCGTGTATGCAAGGTGTGATAATTAGGTAAGCAAATTTAACTTATTCGGTACGCTTGTGTTGACCGGCTCATTTGATCCAAGAAATGGCAGATTACACCAAACGATTAAAATACGTTGTGTCAGTCACGTAATTGATCCACGTTACTCTTTGGGCTTTGTTTGGAAAAAATAATATCGACTTCATTTAACACAAGAAATATTAAATCAATCTTAAAGCGAACCCGATTGTGGGATTGTTTGCTTGAGCTTGGCATCAGTCGTCATGTGCTGTATGATATTACATCACGTCAGTTGTAGGCTGTCTAAAGCGTTTGATTAGTCTTTTCGTATGTGCGTGGATTTTTGGTTTTTGTAAAAAAATTCACTCAAAGACATATGCCGAATATTTAATCGTATCAGTGAGTATTTAAATTGGTATGTATGCCGTGTCTAAACGGTTTGTATTGTACGTCAACCATTGCCACAAAAGTCGCATTACCAACGGGTAATAGGGTTGATATCATAAACGGGAATTAAAAGTTTGTTGTGCCAAGTTACGAAATTTACCACATAACCGAAAAAGTTATAATTGTAAAATTTGTGTTTTTGTTTAGTAAAGTAAGTATGACCTTATACAAAATACATTCCCCGAATAAAGTTTTTGTATATAGCACAATGATAAACAACTCTGAAAAGTCCGGTCGACTATTGACTGATTGAAGAATAAGGTGACTATTCATATATCTAAAATAGGGGGAAAGTTGACATAGTTAATATACGAGAGTCATACCTTGTTGTTTTCACATGTCGGATGTACACACTTTGATGTACGCAATTAGTATTAGGCTGTTTGATTTGAAGCGAAAACGGAACATGGTAACGACAAGTATTTCTCATAAAACAAGGTATTTACATGTAATGCGTACAAAGAACCTTCTACCTAGTTATGTGGATAGCATTAATAATATAACAAGGCTGGTTGTCGTAGATGTAAACAAAATAAAAGATTTGATAGATAAGATTCTTTTTTGAGATGTTGAAGAAGAAGCAAACAGTTCGGGTAAGATCCGGCAACAAATTAATGTCTCGTGACCGGTACTTGTTTATTACAGTCCGTATTGTATGATGGGGTGGCGTGATTAAATTTGTAATATGCTATAGGCCCCAATCGCTGCTAAACCGCTCGGGTTAGGTCAACCCTTCAAAAATGTAGTGACGGGCTTTTGAGGTTTTCCTTGGCAATAGACAATGCATATTTTATAATACACCAAATATAGTACGTCATAAATATACGACAAGGGAAAGGGCCCATCATTGTGCATATTAGGTAAAATAGATCGCCCGTGGGTATTTTACGAGCAGCTTGACGTTACTTGTAAATAATTATGTTAATATGTGTAAGTATGCATTTAGACTAACACCTTGAAATAATTCATAAATCTTTACCATACGCTGTAGGTATAGAAATTACATGTGGTCTAGTTACAATTAATGGGTTAGTCAATCGTATGATAATTGGTTTGTCGATTATGATCAAACAATAAAACACGGCAGTAGACAATGGAAAGAGTGGGATGGGGTGGTGGGTGGTGTGTGGGTGGTGTGATGGGTGGTGTGTGGGTGGTGGGCGGTCAGTCAATCATTAAAAAAAACTTACTAAACAATACACCTATTCTGTTCAATCTATTTAATAAATCTGCATGAGTACTTACCGCAAATGGACATCTACAATGGACACATGCTAACCCCTGTGACACAAATAACAAATTATTGGATAATATAAATAATGCACCAAGTAACGTAACATTGCATGCGGTATTATGACATTATTTGCCGAAGCGTTTGTCTTTGTATGGTAACGATAACGAATTGGCCTAGAAAATGCCTTTTTGCTAGGCAAGTAACTCTCGAGTTGCAAATGCTATCCAGAATCGACAACAAGCCATAGACCATCAAACCATGTTCACCCATGCATGCATCTCTTTGTTCAAACAGTCCAGCGTATTCGAATGTACAATGAAAACACACATAGGCAATATCCGCATTCCCTTTTCCATTAATAATGTGATTCGGAAATTTCAATGCTTGTAATTCGACGTAATTTCCGAACAATGTATAAAATGTTAGTATTTGCCGAATGGATTCATGAAATTAATTTCGTCCCATCGACGAGCCAATTAGGATATGTAACATTGCCCATATAAGGAAATTAGCCGCTTTCTACAATGCCATTATATTAATAATATGTCAGGTTGTCGATACAACAGAAAATGGAAAGGTATGATTCCATCTCTATAATACAATATGAATACAACATTGTAATAATGCATCAAATTTATTATAAATAGAATCCACATGATTTACGACAATATCATTAGTATTAGCGATAACACACTACGATCAGCATAAATCAAATTATGACGTAACATAATATCCACTAATTCCCTACTTTTTTATATTAATTTAAATTGCAATGAATTTGGTTACTTTCTCAAAGCGTGGGACCCAATATATAACAACAGTAAGAGAAAAAACCCCCAAAAAAACGTATCACTTGTCCATACTTCGCATTCTTTACAAAAAAGTAGCACCGTCTTTTGCATCTCCTTGCTTTATATGAATCCCTGATCCACGAACAAACAAACATCAACCCTGTAATCAGTAGTCAACTTAAAATTTTCCAAAGAGAGGGCATTCCTCTGTCGTACCACGTCTTACCAAAAATTATTTAAGCCATCGCTGGATAAAAAACTTTAAATATAAGCTCGAAACCCCCAACCCTTAAAACAAAATATTCAATTTTTTTTTCAAATCAAAAAAAAAACCAATCATTTATTATAGCATGGGTAGCTGTGTTAGCAAAGGAAGTAATGATGGCGACAGGAGTGTAATAAACAGCAACAATAGGAGTACCAGTGCAGCTGGAAGCATAACTATTCCATACGACACAAGACCATCGGCCACGACGACTACAACAACAACGACAACATCAACAACAACAACAACACCAACACCATCTACTATACCTACAATATCCATACTCACAGAATCAACAACGCATAATTCCTCTCGTCCTCCTACACAAACATTTAGCGAACAATCCTCACCTAATGCCACATCGAGGACCAATATCGCACGAACGACTTCACGCAGCACATTGCGTTCGATTTTTCGTACTCAGAACGGTTCGTCCAACCGTCTCCGGCCTCCGTCTTCTTCCAGGTTATCAAATCCTTTGCCCGCACCGCCACAATTGAATCGTAGGAGTTTTACTGGTTTTATAACTCGATATAGCAGGCGATGGCATAACGTGGCCAATAGTAAATATTTATTGCCTAATGACGATGAGGAAATGGATAGGCTCTTGACACAGCATTATATGTTGAGATACGTGTGGGGTAATAACTATTCTGCTCCCGTCATAGGCATGTTGACTGGTGGTGGAGGTAGAATTCTTGAAATTGGGTAAGTAATATAAATGAGCCTGAGAGACTTACAAATGCCATTCTCTGATCTTTATTTATTAACTTTTTTTTTTCTCTCTCTTACGTTCGATCAATCATAGTTGTGGACCAGGTAAATGCTGTTTCTGTCATGAATTTTTAAAATCATATATAATACAATACTTACAAGGCGTTATCTATTTTAGCATTCTGGACATTGGAAATGGCAACATCGTATCCACACTCTTTCTTCACAGGTATCGATATGGTCGCTGTATATCCGTCATCGATAAAGCCTCAAAATGTAACCTTCACCCAGTCAAATATACTCGACGGTCTCCCATACGATAACGATAAATTCGATTATGTATATCAACGATTTCTTGTATGTGCATATACAACATCACAATGGGAAAACGAGGTTATCAATGAAATCGTGCGGGTTTTGAAGAAAGGTGGATGGATTGAAGTTGCAGAATGTGATGGGCAATATGAAAGTATGGGACCGGTGGCCAAACAGTTGAGTGATGCTGGTGAGTAGAGTAGGAAATTGATGGGGGAAAGGGGAAAGGGGAAAAGGGAAAAAGGGGGAAGGGGGAAAGGGAAAAGGGAAAGGGAAAAGGAATTGTAAATGAGTGTTGTGTGTTGGTACAAATTGTGCAATGTCACAATGCATCACTGTATTAATTAACGGTTTATATTGTATCAATGTTTTGTTAGTTGCTACTCTACTCCGTTCTTATGAAATGGATCCGTATATAAGTGAATCTCTTCGGAATCTTCTCGCCAAAGATTCTCACTTGACTGACGTAAATACACAAGAAATGTCAATACCTGTCGGAAGCTGGGGCGGCAACCCTGGGAAACTGGTGAGTAATTGAGAGGGAAAAGACGTCACTTTATGGGGGAGGGGGGGGGGGGGAAAAAGATGACGAAATATACAGTATTATCATGATATGCAATATGCAAGTACATCATGCAAGTGCATCATGCAAGTGCAAGAATAAGGCAAAAGATAAAATACTAACGTGTCCAATGTTTGCCCATTGTTTGTTTGATAGGCGCAAGACAATTTAATTGCTTTTTATAAAGCATTGAAAACACCATTATCTGATATGTTGAGAATACCGCTCGATAGCTTTGATGAATTGATGCAGAGTTTCAGTAGAGAAGTTGACCTGTACAGAACGAGATGGATATCGAGAAGAGTATACGCAAGAAAAATATGACACATCGCCCAAACACACACACCCTCTCCCCCTCCCTTTTAAATAATACGTCTATGAGCGACTAAGGTTTTTATATCATTCAATTAATGACAACGGTTTCAATGGACGAGTAAATATAATATATACAAATGGAAAAAAAAAATCCACAGCAATAGTAATAATGAATGAGAAGAGAGTACAGCACTTAAACTATTTCCCCAACCTCTCTTCAAAAATTATACGAATCCCCCCCAAAATTTTGACACAAATTAATGTTACATATATAAATCGGGTATCGCATACATATTTTTTTATATTGTACTTGCTAAGATTGATGTGGATCTTGTTTATTGATTGTATTATAAACTACATAAACAAAAGTAGATAAATTAACAACATCGAACCATCTTAAAAGAAGGAAAGTAAAAGAGTTGATCTGTTTATTTGCCTTACAAGGGAGAGGGGGCTAAAATTGTCACGTGATTCACTTAATCAGAAACATGCATACATACCACATAACGTATACAGTTACATACATACTACATACATCTTTGTATGCATACATTAAATATATTTTACAAGTGCGCTCCTCTCCGCCTGCCGGCTTCGTCAGCTTGCATATTATTTAATTAATGTCTGCTACCACAAGATAACGGGATTGATTGGTTGATTTCTGTTTCCGATCGCTTAAATATCTGTATTGTGTTTATGATGTTGATGCAAGAGATGATATTAAAAGTTGGGTATAACGCAAGCTTCAAAACATGGTATAAAGAGCACATTGGGAATGGGGGGATATATGTATTGTTTGTTATTTTGTACATTGTTATATTGGAATGCAATAGTCGAAAATGAAATAGGAATAGTTCCATCCATCAAGTACCTTATATTTTTCTCGGCCCGTTCCCCCAATCGATCGTCTCACCCTTATATTGTTACGCAAAACCAACGTCTGCATTTGGATATATTGCAACATCAAACGAAAAAGAGAGATTGAGAGAGAGAATGCGAGAGAGAGTGGTTGAGGAATTGGCGTCCGAGTAATGGTGAGGGATGTGTGTAGTGTCAAGTAAATGGGATTGCCGTAAAGTAAATGGGATTGCTGTAATAAATAATTCGCAATCAGTACAGTCATTCATTGCATACTAGTATCTATTAAATGTTCTTACAGATCGTCATATTAATATCGTTGTGGTAAGATATCACAACATGTGTGTGTGTGGGTGTATGTATGCACATAGCAAGAAATACGCTCCAACCGCATTCCATACCTGAATGTCTATGACACACTGGAGGAATATGTAATCTTGTCTTTTTTGCAATTCGGAATCTTACTATTTTACTTTGACAAGGGAAATTTCTAAAATATACAGAATGATTCTTTAGTAATGTTACCCATAGAGCAGGGAGATTGGTGGTGAATGACATGCGAACGTTGTTGCTGTTTGAGTAGATTGAGTCAGTTAGTTTCTAGTGTTAATACGTTAAATTATGAAAACCAAGTTCAACTGATTACTAAATCTCTTTCAATAACATTACATGAATACAACAACGCATACCTGAATACCGTCGAGAAGGTGTCAATTGACGTATCTAGAATGTTTTGACATTACTCAATCTCCTTCTCCTTTGTGGTATCTATTTCTCCTTATTCTCCTCCTTCTTTGTCCTGGGAAGAGGATTTTAATGGCATAATGTCGCTTATCTCTGTATCCACACCTTATTAGTACCATGGCATGGTATTAAGAAAAGCCCATTTACTTCACGAGTATGCGTTAGGTTTTTGCTACGTACGGTTATGCTGCTATCGTACTAATTAGAGAGATAATCGATTGAATCAATCGCTCAATTCTTCTTTCTTCTGACATGCACTAGTTTGCCATTGTCTCCGATGCCAATTCTGCCATTACATGGTGTATCAATTCACAAAAAGCAATACGAGATAAAAATGACAAATTATACCTTTTGCTTTTGAACGACTTTATATTATCTGTCAGTAAAGATGAATTTGTACAAACACTCTCGGAAACCAACTCTTCATGTACACATATAAAAATATTCCCTTTTTTTTTACACTTTTACCAACGTATCAAGCAACAATAAAGACATTTGGGTAATTTGACAGTGTTCACGGTAAGACACTTTTTCAACTCTCGTCAATTCCGTAGATTATATTAGTATCATCTCAGTTCGAAGGTCAAGCCAATAAACATTTCTCTCTCATTTTATTATTTTGCATGTATGTACAGTATACAGCGACATGAAAGCAAACTTGGAGAATTGTGTGGACAAGTACATGGTAAAAAAAAATTGCGAGTGGACATGGCCGATAGCGATAATTGGAATAGAAAAGACAGAGAACAATATTATAAGGAGAATTGCTATGCTGACTCTTTCTACTGCGACGGGGCGGGGTGCGCTATGCCGATGCATCGGCTGATATCATTTGTATTACTTTCTCACGTTTAGGTTGGTCAATTGTAATTACCCAATCTTATTTACGTCACTTGGTCATATTGGCGACCATAATTGTTTAAATGTAACCTTCAAAAAGGGGTGTATGGTTACACTACGATGAAATCATAATGAGTTTACTCCCCTGATATATATGCCTTGTACAAATACGGATAATGCAAAAAAAAAATAACTGATGAATAATGATAACCGTTAAATGAATTTGGTAGTTACTTTCACCCATCATTTCCATTTCTTTCTTATTTCTTGCCCATTTTCGCGAGAGATCTCTTTCATCAACCAGAATAGCTAGTAGAAAAGAAAAAAAAAGGCTAGATTTTGATTTTGGTTTTGGTTTTGGTTACTTTAATTGTTTGTGTGAAACAACAGAATATGCTAGCGAAAAAGTTTTCAAGTATCCATTTGCTGAAAATTCTTTACAAAGGACCCCAACGTAGTATGATCGCCTGCTTCTGTCACAAGAATTTCATGCTCTCTAATTTATCACGACCAATCTGATGTGCGATTTTGTAATTTTGAGGCACTTGGATACGATGTGTGACGAAAACAAGGTTAGCATAGTGAAGGGGGTGGGGGAAACCGGAGGGAGAAAAGTAACTCGGCGGCGATGTGGCAGTCCTACTCTCTTTGCGAGGCATATTAAAAATTGTCAAACGATTGTAATTAATTCAATTACGCTTGTCCCATCTAATACAACCTGTATTAATAATAACGGCGTGATGAGTAGCTGTAACTCGTAGTCAGATACCAAGCTGTTAAACGTATACAAGATCGTATGGAAATCATCAATACCCCATGAACGTTGTACAAACACATTCCATTTCCTAGTGGGTTGATTACACACAGCACTGCCACGAGACTGTCTGTGCATGTAAATAAGCTGAACCCTTTGAAAAAAGTTTGGGTGTTTATCGACCACGCACGCAGAGTACCATGCACGCAGAGTACTATGCACGCAGAATACCACGCACGCAGAGAGTGTCCAACTAAACTATCGATTTCAAATATTCTGGTTACAGCTGTCATAGACTGTTGTTTCATTGGCTCGAGCAAAAAATTTCATTACTTGTGTAAATAAAAGTTAAATTACGCATTTGTAGGGAAAAAGTGTTTTCTACCTAAATTATACAAATACATGAACGCTTTTTTTTTTTTACGCTCATAACAAAAAACACATACACAAGGTTTTTTTCCTCTCCAATAATATTGGTTAATATTTCCATTTCAAGAGTTTGTGATTTTGTGCTTCCGTTTTTTTCTCCTTTTCATTGAGGAGGATAATCTCTTTTTTTTTTTTTTTAACTATGCACCGTATTCCCAGTCTGATTAAGATCATAAATCATCATATGACGTCACACAATTCTTGCTTATCGGTGTCGAGTCAAGAATAAAAAGTCCCCGATAACCAGTCATTTCCAACCATTGCCATTTGTGATAACCGGTTTTCTTTAAAGGAAATCTCATTACTGTTGCTACGAGTACAAATTAATCGGCTGCGGTCTGGAATGTGGATCTGTTTTTTCTTGATTTATTGATAGTGAACCCTTATTAGTTATTATTATAACTGATTATCATTAAATTTTGCCTGTTTATTTTTAAACTATTACGTTCATTAATGTTATATAAGTGATAGCATCACAAACAAAAACTATAAATTTCTATTTCAAAACTCCCTGTCAAAAAAAATCCACCATACAGGAAAGAAGCCACGTTTTAACAACGAATAAGTATATTGTGATTTATTATTTACGGTAACCCATTCTTCCCGGCAGTTTTCAAATTACTATACTTATATAGTATCAAGACTCGCGCTGTTACGCGCCACAAACGTATAATAGGTTTCAAGTTGAGAAGAAGAAGAAGAAAAGAACGTTGGAATTGAGTTGGAAGAAAACCTAGATATTTGTATAAGTCGGAGTATCGGAAATGCTAGAACAAATAATGATTAATATGCAACATATTATAAGATTTAATATTACCAAATATATTAATATCCAAACGTATAATTTGATATAGATTATCATTATAGGTAATGTGACATTCTACATATACGCTTTGTAAGGGTGATATAATCATGACACGAGTATCTACTAAATTTTATATCACCTCACCTCACCTCACCTCACCTCACCAAACAACGATTACTGCGTACAATAAAGAGTGCGTGTTATTTACAGGGTTTGCTTACAAACGTTAATTGCAGAATTCTATGTAGCAATGCCTCTTATTATGTTTTGACCTTGACGGTACCTATCAATTTCTTGTGTGCTAACCTTAAGAACAATATTAAGACATGAAAAAATAATTAACTGTTTTACAAACTATTTACCTTTTTATTGCTGCTGCCGCTTTCTTGTGAGCAAGTGGATACGGCATATGAGACTTGGCTAATTTATCATTCGTCGACATACACACAAAAACTTCTTTTCTAAATTGATAGCAAATGACACTTGTTGCTAAATACGAACTGGAACGGTTGATATTTGTATTACCTCAACCTCCAGTAGTATTCGGCTATTCAGCATTACATGGATACGTGATTACACAAACTTATGTTTATATACCAAAAAACGTGTTTGAACTTTATCACAAATTTAACGGAACGGTATTACCAACGAGGGTAACCCGACTCTTGTATACTCATCTGTACATACTGAATTACCTACTTTGGCTATACGTTTAATATAGCTAATCTAGTTGTATCTATGAAATCGGTTCTCTTCATTCCTCAAAGATAAGCTTTTTTAACGACATATTTTTATTCCAATCATGAATATTTATTACTCAATTGCCTCATAAAAAAATACACAATAAAACCTCTTCAAATCAAGAATGATTGAGTAAAAAATAACCCTAAATCCAAGTCAACCATTAATGTAGCAATTATTAAGTGCTAATCCTTAAAAATACAAGTTGTCTAATATATCAGTTATATTATAATCAGAAATACCCAAAGTTTATTAATTGAGAACTTAAGAACAATCTTCAAAATTTAATGTAGTTGGTAAACAGATTACTAAAACAAAGTAAGTACGTTATATCATACAACATAAAAAAAGAAACCATGACAAGAAAAAAAAATCAAAACAAAACGAACTAAAAGAATAAAAGTAACAAAATTTTTTTACAGAGAGAAACATATTCAAAAGGAGGAAGAGGGAAGAAAGGAGATTAAACAATTCAACTAGAAAATAATTCACTCTCAAAGCGAATACATGCTCAATCACACTTTGATAATATAGATCTACTATTTCTACAAAGATAAACCTTTAACTAAATCTCTTGTATAATCCAACGTTTAAGATATTCGCTCAACTTTTTCCTTGTGCATCGACTTTCTCTCTTCTTTCAAACTCTTTTTTTTTTCTTTTTCTCCCCTCACTTGCAAACATCAGCTCTCTCTCAAAATGCGAAATTTCATATTATTATCAACTCCATCAAACACCATCTACAGCATCCGTAACACATAATAAAGCCTTATTAAATTTACTTAATCACAGAAAGTATGCATACATGGTTGTGGAGTATCGTAGAAACCAAACTCATACGATTGCTGTGTATAAACCTGAGGACTAGAATCAATAAAGGTAATCGGTAACGATGAGTCTATGCTCTGCGGATACAACATTTCGTGTCGGCCCGACGTTGCATTAGTAATCAAGACACTCTCCATTCCGCCAATCCCGGGCAGCCTGACATCGTAAACTATGCCAATGTGTTTCGCCAAGATTGGGCTGACTTCTTGGTTGGTTTGCTTGTACCGTCGAGATCGTGGCGATGGAAAAAACTTTTCGTGCAGCTTTTTAGCTTTCTGTGCCTTGGCTTGACAGGCCTCTTTGACGTCGGATGATTCGGTTTTCCATGCACACGAAGCATGTTTTATGATATCTCTCATTGGACAATCCCAGAACCCGCGCGATTGCAGTTCTTTCGCATAGGCTATGCGGTAGACGAAAAATGCGTTTTGTGATCGGGTGGGAGTTCGTCCGCCCCTTCGTTTGGGCATCAAGTCTTCGTCTTCGACTTGTAATGGAAGACTGATTTTTATGCCATCGGGAAGAGAGCGATCTTGTTGATCGGATATGTTGATCCATGTAAAGTCACGAACTTTGGTAGTAGACATTATATATTATTATTATTTGATGGGTATAAAGAAACTGGTAGGTTTGTTTGTTATTGGTTTGGTATAGCAATGGTATTCGGGATGGGTGAATATTGTATTTACAACTTTCAGAAATCAGAATTTTTTTGCGGTAAAAATTCTTGATGGGTGAGTGGGGTGGCAGTTAGTTATTTATATGTTTTAGGTTTTTATGTTGGTAGAATTATTCTTTGTGCTTGTGTTTCGGTTTTTTTTTCTTATTTTTGTATTTATTTTCTTTTGTTTTTGTGTTTATAGAAATATTTTCTCTATCTGTTGTGTGGGTGATTTTTTTTCTTTTGGCTGAGTTTGGCCGTAGATGGAGGCGATATAGATTTATACATATTCGATACTGGCGGATAGTGCTACAACTTTCCCATTTCAATTCAATTGCCCATGTTCGGGGTAGCCACAGACATTCGTTTGTTGAATAGTTACACAACTGTCAGCTTCTGAGAAGATTTCAAGTGTTCTATAAAATGTGTAAAAATTTGTAATTACTTTTTTGGCGATGTTTTATTCGATAGTCTGTATTCGTCATTTATGGTGATGAGTCGAGTGGTGACAATATTGACAGCGGCGAGGAGGTGGATAATCACTACACTTTTGGGGAGAAAGATAGACGGTTGTGATAACCAAGCAACGGGTAATAAAAAAGCTTACTTTTTGGTAGTCAAACTTTAATAAGCTACAAGAAAATAATGTATAGTTGAGAGAGGAGAACAATGGCATATATACAATGGTTCTATGCAAGCAGTCTATATATTTGGGAACACTTTATTGATGCAGTTGTTTACTTATCAATAAAAAATTATCAATTTATTATGCATATATAATGTATAACAGAGGCATAGATTTCAAGTGACGTCTGAGTGGTTGCGAATAAGCTACTTAATGTGATACGAAAAGTAAAGCGAATGAATGCAGCAGGCATATCAATATTAAATGTTCAACTTATCCCCCCACCCTGTCCGTAGTTTATCGCTACTTGATTAATTATACTGCATACATCGTATGATTTCTCTGTGTGAGTGCTTGTGTTGTGTGTATCAATTGCATTGTCGTTATCATTTTTACATTGCATTTCTTTGCATTAGTCTCGATCATTTTACGAAAAAAAAAAAAAATTTTTTTTCGGAGAGTGGGTCCGGCAATTTTCAATATGGGTGAATATCAGGTTTTTGGTGCTACAACAACTCTCGTAACACACTAAACTAGCGAAGTAGAATTAAGTTTAAACATCTTGCATGAATGCTTTGTGATATAGGCCCCGTCATATTGTATAATGTTGCAGATCTGTATTATCAACTTTTATTATTAAGTGTCACATTAAATCAGTAAGTTCTTTGTTCGTAAACTTTCATAAACAAATTTTGGTTATACAGTACTATTCGTTACATATCATCACTATGGGGGGACGGCGGGTATATCATATTTAGCACTTATTACCAGAGATGTTGTATTTTAATTGTTTACTAATCACCAGGTAAAGAATGAAAAAAAGGAAAAGAATAGATGGGAGGTGATGAGAGAGAATAACCCTTTTTTCCCTAACAAAAATTTAACCATGACGTAATAACTATACTTTTCAAAAGGTCACCCGCAGCTAATAATTACGTTTGTCCCAAGAGTATACAGTTTAGTTGCAGCATTTAATGGTTTTTTAATAAGCCTTCATTTGTTCTTCAGAGTCACCATACACCTAAATCGTCTGGTGCACGTAATTTAACTGCTATCCACTAGAAGTTGACCGCAATTAACCGAATGCTAGACTTTCAACACACCCATTAATCTCCATTACCGTACTGGTTTAACCCACTTTAATTGTATTTCCCGTTGTTTATTTCACTTCGTAACCTTTGAGTTGCAGTTACCCATAATGGTGATACTCAATAAGACCTACCCATTAATCAATATTTACCATTATCATTAAGGTAACTGTAAAAATATATATGGCTAATTGATTATCTGCTTACTCATCGCTTTCTTACTATGGTATCAGTCACTTGCAACTTATCAATCTATCAATCTTTCCAAATATATTGCAACAAACAGAACAGATTCTCTCTTTCCCGTCATTTTGTGGGCCCGTGTACTCGAAAGGGCACGGAACACAATATCATCATTATCGCAAAATCTCATTTCATTTTGAATCTTCTTTCACTCTCTCTCACACGTATGCACATACACATGCTTCTTTTTAACAATCAATATTTATCAATGGATAATTGGCAATGATTTAACTCGAAAAGGGTTACCTTATCTTTGTTGTTATCGTTCGAATTGCTAAACAGTGCTTACGTTGCATTCAATATGTATACCAAAGGCGCTTATTACTAATAAAGTATATCCATTATATCGATTATGCATAACGAAATAATGTCCATGCCTACAAAAACCTTTATCATTCAAAAAATGTATTTTTCGTCTTTTCAACTATGTCATCATACGTAATTGTCGACCTATAATTGTAAGCACAAAAAGGAAGCATGCGTGTGAGTTTATCGACATAATGATATAAGGAATCTTATACAAATAGATTGCGTAAGAGAAAAGCAGTAGACTAACTACTATGCGATAGACTGTTATGTAAACAGGAAAGTCCTATTGCAAATCTCAGCCCATCACAAAAAAGGTTTATAGTTTACACAGCTTAATGGTGCCCTGTTTACAATCCGGATTGTGGCTGATGATCGCCACATCTGGAAAGTTGATTTTGACATGTAAAAAAGAGAGAGAAGAGAGCGAAAGAAGAACATTCTGTCTGTGTGCCAATGCGATTGTGATCATGCCCTCTGTTTTTCATTATGTTTTCAATTTTATTTTCATTCGAGATAAACAGTTTACATGTCACTCGCTAAAAAACCGCGAGTTTGTTTGTGCAGCAACAAATAAGCGTATGACAGATTAAACAGAGATATTATTGACTATTGTATGCGCCAAAATTCATTATCCGGATCGACGACAAAAAGAAGCACTTTATTAGACATTGCCGGTTTGTACAATAGGCTCCCAGTGGCTGGTTTCACTAACAATGGAAAGAGGAAACATAACTAGCATTAGCCGCCTAATCGTTATTTCTAGATGGAGGAAATTTGGCATGTTGGCGTCGTGTTGTTGTACCTCAGTTGGGGGCCTGTCTCAGTTCTGGGCCGAGATAACTGAGTTCTGGACTGAGTGATTGGGTTCCGAACTGAGACAGATCCCCAACTCAGTGCTGGTAATGGAAATCGTAATGTAAAGATGTGCTATAAATAACTTGATATGCGATTATCGACTATAAAGTGATCATATGATTAATCCCGCATAACAATAACTGTACGTGTGTAACAATTTTACCCCAATATGTGGGTTAGCTTTTTTATTCTGCATTGTTCTTTATTGTTATTCGACAAATTTTATTCGGCAAGATAAGTATTCACAATTAGCATCATCAGAATAGCTAAAGATTAGAGATATTGTCATGGAACACACACTCATCGAAAAATTGACAGATGTCTAAGAAGCTCATGTCAGCCCTACTACTTTCAAAGCATTTGTCATGTCATTAACTTACAGCTCTTTGCGCGAAAAAAGTCTTATACTTGAGCCTAGTTACAATTCAACCAATGATTGTCCGAGTAACAAGTTTTTTACTAGTGTTGTTCTCTGTTACAATAACTTTATTCAAACCCTGTTTTGTTATTCTAATGTTGAGCACGGCATTTAAGCTACACTTTATAGTCTTTGAACTAGAATCGCTGTTTGTTCTGACAAGCAGTTTTGTCAACAGAAATGCTAACATGCTTCAAGTTAAATAAATTAAGGCATGTAAACAGAGAAATTATATCCGATATTATTATTATTATTATTAAGTATTTTGATGTTTGAAAAACTGGTTGTAATAGTAATACTAAACCTATTTCTGTTTTTACATGTCTGGTTGGTAAAAAGCTTATACAACGATAAGCATTTGATATTAAGCATATTTAATCTTACTAATCATAATAATAAGTTGTTAGCCATTCATTTTCCTATTATCCCGAGTATAGAAAACCTGTGTCAATTACCAACATTGAGGAAACGGCAATCGTTCATTCAATTTTTGCTATTTTTACTATGATTTACTGAACAGGTAAGCAAACAGTTATGGACGAAAACAAGTATTGTTTTGAATCAGTCAAAATATAGAACTGAACGAATGTTGAAAACTTTGTCATCATCTTTTCTAGTTACGCAATGGTACCATCGTCGTCGGTCGTACCCCGATTATATTGTATGGCAATGAATATCAAACTGTAAGCGCCAAGATGTTTAATGGGTAAATTCTGACATTTTAAATCACTGCATTAAGCCCCCTGTCTTTAAGTTTTCAATTGGCACTAATATTGTTGGGATAAATGGAATGGGAATTTAACCATTGTCATTGACTCGGTTTTTTTTTTATCGATTCTATTGTAGATACGGAATTCCCGTTAGGATTTCTAGTTAACCAATTTGACCGATGATGCAGTGACTATATGATCGAAAATAATATTATCGGTAATTTATTCTAATCAATATACTGATATTAATATCTATAAACCAAAATTATTGGACATCTCTCTGCAGATATTAGGACACAAGCTTTCCATGTCATCACAACACCGCATATAATTGCTACGTATTAGAGCACTACATAAGTTGGTTGGGTGACCAGCACGAATGCATTGTATTCCTGAAGGAAACAAGTATGAATTATAAAAGAAATTGACGGCAGTCATTCTTCTTTCGACTTTATCCGTTTATTGTTTTTGTTGTGTGATTGATAATTTTTTTAATACATGCAGTTTACCAATAAAATTCTCAGTGCAGATATCATAAAGAAAGTGATTGGTCGGTCAATGGTTATTGCTAAAATACAAAGAGTGGAGCATCAGGTATGATAATAATGGCAATGTTATTGTCGTCAGGGATGCCTTACTATAATAATTTTGGTGGGTGGTAACTAAAAAATTTAGGCG